GAAATAGGCTCCAGGCTCTGAGCTGGCTGTCAGCACAGAGGCCGACGTGGGGCCGAACCCACGAACTGCGAGATCAAGACCTAAGCAAAAGTCGGACGCCCAACCGACTAAGCCACCCAGGCACCCCAAGAGTTGTAATTTTANTGACGCGGGGCTCGAACCCACGAACCGCGAGATCATGACCTAAGCGAAAGTCGGACGCTTAACCAACTAAGCCACCCAGGCGCCCCATCAAATGTATATTTAAAATAATTACAAGAGGTCTATTACCCACCTGTTATAATGCACAACGACATAAATAATCTCATCTGAGGAGGGATGCCTCCTGCATTGCACTGTGCCTTCATGAAATCAGCACAGGTGGGAAAGCAAGCCAGACAGGCTTGGGTCAGGCTTACCTACTTGGCCTGACTGTTGGGAAGTTTTGCTCAGCCTCTCTGCCTCTCTTTCTCTACCAGCACACTTGGGATAGTTTGTCAAAGTGACCTCTAAGGTCTCATACTAATATATAATGGTTTTATATAGTTCCCTCCTAAAAACAGCAGTCTTGTGTATTAAAGAGTAAAAATGAAGAGAGCAAATTTTTTAAAAATAGTAATTAGTGAAGCATATGGTAGCAATATTTAAAATTAATCTGAAAATGAAATTAAAGAAAACTGTTCCATTTACAGTAACATGAAAGGAATAAATTTAACAAAATGAAAGCAAAAGTTATTTTCTGGAAACTTCCAAACATTGCTGAAAGAAATTTCAAAAGGCCTAAGTAAATGGAAAGACATCCTGTGTTCATAAATTGGAAGACATGATATGGTTACGATGACAGTATTCTTTCTTCATAAAATCTCCATTGGCTTTTTATGTAGAAATTAACCAAGTGAACTTAAAAATCACACAGAAATTCAAGGGCCTAAGAATAGGTAAAACACGCTTTAAAAAGAACAAAGTCAGAAAATTCATACTTAACTAATTTTAAAACTTATCATAAAGCTAAAGTAATTAAAAATGTGTGATACTATCATGAGGATAGATATATAGATCAATGGAATAGAATTGAAAGTCAGAAATAAACTCACACATTTACCAGTGATTGATTTTTGACATAGGTGCCAGGACAATACAAAGGAGGAAATAATAACCTTTCTAACAGATAGGGCCAGGATAACTGTATATCCACATGCAGATGAATGGAGTTGAATCCTTTTTCATCACCCCACACACAAACATTAACTGAAAAATGATTCAAAGGCCTAAATGTAAAAACAAAGTCCATAAAAATTTACTTTAAAATTTTTAAGAAAACCTTTATGATCTTGGGCTAGGTGAAGCCCTCTTAGGACACCAAAAGTTCATACTTACTCCAAAATAGACAAATTGGGCTTCATCAAAATTAAAAAAAATAAATAAACAATAGGACACCGTGAAGAAAGTCAAAAGAGAAGCTATAGAATGCGAGAAAATATTAGGAAATTGTATATCTAATAAAGGACTAGGATCCAGAATATGTAAAAAAAAAAAAAAAAAGAAAAAAAAACTCTTATAACTCAATAGTAAAAAGACAACCAACACAATTAAACAATGGGCAAAGGTCTGAATAGACATTTCTCCAAAGAAGATATACAGATGGCTAATAGCACATGAAAATACAGATGCCCAATATCATTGGTCGTCAGAGAAATGCAAATTAAAATCATGCTGAGCTAACACTCAATATTCAGTAAAAAGACTATTACCAGAAAAGATAAACCATAGCAAGTATTGGAAAGAATGTGGAAAAATGAGAACCCAAATTCACTGCTGGTGGGAATGTAAAATGGCAGATACTTTGGAGAACAGTATGACAGTTCCTCAGTAGGCCAAAGGTAGAGTTACCCTGTGATCCAGTAATTCCACCTGTGGGTATATACCAAAGAGAAATTAAAACGTGATGTCTATACAAAAATTTGTACGTGAATGTTTATAGCAGCCTTAGTCACAATCACCAAAAGATTGAAACAACCCAAATGTGCACCCTCTGACTGAGGAATGAATAACTAAAATGTGATATATCCACTTAATAAAATATTATTTGGCCATAAAGAAAGAAGTACTGATTTATGCTGTAACATAAATGAACCTTGAAAATGTTATACTAAGGGCACCTGGGTGGCTCAGTCGGTTAAGCGTCCAACTTCGGCTCAGGTCATGATCTCACGGTCAGGTCAGTGAGTTTGAGCTCAGCATCATCAGGTTCTGTGCTGACAGCTCAGATCCTGGAGCCTGCTTCAGATTCTATGTCTCCCTCTCCCTCTCTCTCTGCTCCTTTCCCTCTTCTCTCTCTCTCTCTCTCAAAAATGAATAAATGTTAATAACAATAAGTAAATAAATAGAAAGAAAATGTTATACTAAAATGAAACCAGTCACAGAAGACCAAAAATCAGCCTGTTTACATATGAAGTGTTCAGAATAAACAAATTTGTAGTAACAGCAGATAAGTGGTTGCTTACAGCAAGAGGCCTTTGGGGAAAATGAGGAGTAAATGCCAGTGCTTTTTAGGGGTGTTGAAAATGTTCTAAAACTGTTAATGATGATAGCTGTATGCTTTGTGAATGTATTAAAAGCCATTCAATAATACACTTTGAATGAATTTTATGGTATGTGAATTATATCTTAAGAAAGCTGTTATAAATAATAACATTAAAAATTAAATTTTGAGAACTAGAAATTTCAGATACTTGGACCATTATCCAAGACAACTTTTGGATGCAGATAAAGAAGTTTTCACATCTCTTAGCATGACATTCTGTCCCAGCAAGGAGGGAGCCTGGGCTTTATAGTTACACAGTCACTGATGTAAATCCATTTTAGAATGGTCAGTTTGCATAGGTTCTTTGAATCTCAGCTTCTTCACCTACAAAATGAGGGTAATGATAGTTCTTAGTTCTCGAGTTTCTCTGAAAACTGAGTTTCTTCATCTAAAGAGCCCAGTGCAGTGTTAAAAGTGATAGCCATTGTCAGAAGTCTTGAGGTCATGATCATTGCAGGCTTCTGATCAGGATTTAAAGACAGAGGCCTGCTGGAAACCCCTGCACTGCCTTTGCATGTGCCTGGAGCACTGTCCTTGTCTCACAGCTTAATTAGTCCCTTCATGACCTCATGAGGAGACTCAGTGCAGGCCTTTTCTCTGGTGGGTGTTTCCTGACCACATCCAGCTACTGAGTTTACCAGACTTGACTCTTTCTGTTCTTGCAAATCTGTCATCTCACTTCTGGCAGCAGTGATTTATTTGTCTATCTTACCTTCTCTGTACTACTTTGAGACTAGAGGCTGCTGGTTCACTCCCACATTCCCCAGGTCAGTGCTTGGTGCTTGGTAGGTGCTCAGTTAATATTATTTGAAAGACTAAATAGTAAAGGGTAGGACCTAGATAGATTGTACATGGTCACAAGCTTCCATTGGACCGCTAAACATTTGCTTACCAGTAAAGAGAATAATCTGAACTATTTTGTGTTGGGAATTTCATTACTGATATGGCGTCACCAGTTTACCTAGTATATTTGGAATGATAGTATAGTCCTGATATTAAAATAAAAAGACATCAAGAAATCTACATTTAATTATACATTTAAATTTATTTGTTACAAATCAATGGAGAATAAAAGATTGCTAATGGGTAGCAGATTGAGAAGAATTACACCTATTAAATATGTCTTCATTTTGGAAGTCTTTTTGAAGGAGCTCTGTGTTTTATAAACTGCAGTGGAAAGTTGAAACATTGGATTTATTAATGTACTCTATGAGCTGCTAAGAAAAACTGAAAATTTAGATTTCCATGGAAATCCCATTGTCATTTGTAATGATGGCATTGGTATAAATGTGTATACCCAATATTTATAGGAAGTGATCTAGTATATGTTTGCACTTGCCCTGGGCCACGTTCTTGCCAAAATTTAGTAAACCTATTTAGAAAAATTCCCCTTATCATTGTGCCAGTTTCTCTAGAAGCCAAAAGCTTTCATCATAACCAACTTCCCTGCTTAATCTGCAAAAGAACAAAGCTAAAGTTATTGAAATGTGATAAATTGTGATAGTAATCTATCTAAACTGTAGGAAGCCATTATTGACTTTATGTGTGTTATTACCTAGAGAATATGGTGCTTTGTGATAACCTTACCTAGAAACAGAAGCATTGGCAAAATTATCTCCAAAATGTTTTATTTTGTCCTTCTCTATAATCTTTTAAAAGTAGAACCTTTCATTAAGACCAGAGAACATAAAACAATTTCACTTCTTTCTTCAATTTATGGCACCTTTCCTTCAGTCGTTTCAAAATATTTATGCAGAGTTCAGGAACCCATTTCTGTAGAAGGCACTTAAGTGAATTTGGAAAGTGGCATTTCAGTAAGTATAGTAGAGAGAAACTTTGACTTGGAACTGTGTCATAATTTATAACTGGATAGCTTTGCAAGTTTCCAAAGAAGAATGATCACCACTTATTGGCAACCCAAATGCAATTCCTGTTTGTTTCCTATAACTAGTTATACCATGTGAGCTAAGTAACACTCCTCTCTCTTTCCCCATGAGCACCAAAATAGTTTTATTAATAGGAGCATACGCTGTTTATGTTCTTAAAAAAAATCAGGGTGGTCTTAGATGTCTGTCTTCCATTCTGGCATTTCCCTTTATACAACCCTTTTGAATTTTCTGTTTAAAAACTGGCATTCCAATAGCTTTTCTTTGGCCTAATGCCTGGGTCACATATTGCAGCAGCAAATTAGGAATGTTAAGACGTCCCCCAAAGAAAAATGTTTGTTATGAAAGTAGAGCTGATGTGACACATAGAATTAGAGCTTCTTAACTTATCTAAATGACAGTTAGTGATCGTTTTCTTTTATTCTTATTTTAGAGGAGAGGGGGAAAGAATGAAAGAAATGCCTAGAGGCTGAGATTGGATTTGGTTCACCAAACTGTTAAATGTCAAATGTACTATCTGATAATACATACATCCTTTTATCTCTTTTTAGGAGCTAATTTTGTTACTCGAAAAATTAGTCGGTCAGTGGCTAAGATTTACCTTGGACAATTGGAATGTTTCAGCTTGGGAAATCTGGATGCCAAACGAGATTGGGGCCATGCCAAGGACTATGTAGAGGTAGGAACTGACTCATTATGTTCTTAAAAATACCTGTATCAGTTGGTGTTTTCAATGCGAGGCCTCTGGTGGAAAAGCATAACCTAGAAGAAGTGGTGGCATATAAAATTTTGCTAATGCAGATATATTTAAACTCTTACTACTTTCAACTTAATGTTCCATGGTTCTACTTTACATGTAGATGACACTGAATGTTACTTGGAAGTGGAAACCTTTCACAATTGTTCTTTCCTTTATTTAAAATGAAGGTGTCAGTTGATTGTTCCGAGGATGGATGAAAATGTTTGAGCAGTGTTCTTTTTTTTTTTAACGCTTCACTCTCCTCACTTTGTGCACCTTCTCCCTCCTGCCTGCTCAATATATATATATATATATAAAACTAACTGTGAAAAAAATTTTAGGTATAAAGGTACAGTTCTAGAACTTCAGGAGGTACTACCTAATTTCAGTTTGTATAATCTAAGACTTTCAGGTTTACATTATTCTACTAAAGTACTCTAAGAGTGATATTCTTACAGAGGTTTTGATTTTTGCTGCTTGAGTGTTTGGTTATTACCCTACATACTTCCCAGTGTGTGACATTATATGCAAATGAATTGTTCATTAAATAGAGACAGATAGAGTTGTTAATAATGATAATATTGCATAATACTGGATATAGTTAAAGAAAAATTCAAATTCTCACTCTTGGATTTATCTGCACATTAAATTCTGGTCTGGGTTAGATATGTTACATGTATAAGTCATGTGATTTTTCTTTAACCAAATGGTTATATTTTACCTTTCCCTGATCAGTATGCTTTTAAATATACATGGTGGTTTCTGTGGCCAGACATGAAGGAGCGTGTTGGTGACATTGTCTTTTTCCCTGGAGTCTGCTTGTCCTTGTTTAGGTGCTTACAGATTTCCTGTGCTCAGGAGACTATTTCTGTCCTTAATGATTCCTCTCTGGGAAACCGGATCCGGCTTCCTTGTTCATTGATGCGATTCAAAAAGAAACTTGAACATTTACGAAAGAAACCAAACAAGTAGTTTACTTGCTAACACAGAGGTTAGTTTCAGCAGTACTATTACTTTTGTTCATAGCAATTAAAAATGTGTACTTGAACACCTAATACTGATTCATATTATGGAAAAAATAGCTCTGATTTTAAATTTTGAACAGTATAACATTTAGATCATTTCAGTATGTTCTCTGAAGCTGTCATTACAAAGAGGCATTTCATGACAGTAGATATTAGACATATTCTAAGAACATTACATTAAAAAATATGTAAGTCCACCTTTTCAGAAATTTAAGAAGTAGGAGAAAGGAGATGTTAAAGCTGAAACTCTGTTTTGTCTAACCTGTATGGCCTTACCTACTTAAAAATATGAGTCAAGTTTTATAAAAATGAATACCTTATTTTTTCAAAAATATGCAAAAATATTTCAAAAATATTTCTGCATATGCTTAGAGCTATAGATAACTATATAGTTATCTTTCTATATCCAAACTCTTGTTCTCCAGATTCAGAACCAAATAGATCAAATTTCATTCTATTTAATTTTGCTTTTTTGCACCAGGGTAAAAAATGAAATTTGTATTACAACTCAGAAATAGATTTTGATAGAGAAACACTATGCCAAATCTTAATAATGCTTATTACCAGTTGTGTTTATTTTTATTTTTGCATTTCTATATTTTCCATAGATTTGAAATGAATATAAACATTTCAATCAGAAAAAAATTAATGTAATTGTTAAAATAAGCCAAATTTTTTTTTTTAATTCATGACACTCTTAAATACATTATGTAATGAGTAAGTCTTTTGTGCTCAGTGGTTCTGGAAGAAGGACCCCAGTATCATCTCATTCCCAAAGTGCCAAGGCCAGCACTGATCCTGGGTGTAGCTCAAACCTTGAAACAAAGGGGCCACATTTGTATTCATTTAAAATATAAACATTTTATAAACACTGTGGCTCAAAGACTTCAAAAAGGTCTTCCCAAATGCCATTTTGAAGATTCCTTGACAAGGTGATGTCAGTACAGTGAACCCAAGAAGCCAAAACATCCACGCAAGAATAAAGTGTTCTGGCCTTTCAGTAAGAATGTAAAATTGTCAGATTTTATAGAGAAACAGACTTACAAAATTAAGTCATTTTTACTGGCATTCAAGACCTGGTTTGTTCCACAGTACAAGTAGGTTTCTCTCTGAAGGACTCCCCTGGGGTTCAGACAGTAATGTGTGTATAGTTCTCATTTATGGGTCTTGAAAGATGTCTAAATTTAAATTTCTTGATTTCTGAAAAAATGCCATTATTAAGAATACACAGTTTGCTATTTCCATTTTAAGAAATGTTACCCTCCCTTGCATTTCTAAATGTATTAAAATAAGGTTACTTCACAGACTTATGACTAAAAGTAGATGTTGCCAAAATTAAAATCAACAAGCATAAGAATGAAAAAAGAGAAGCATTGTTTGTTTAAAATGCATGTGCATCCTGGCGCTATAATCAGCTTTAGAATAAAGAAGCCTTGGCAAGTACAGATCAAACAAGTTATAATAGCATCTTATTTACACACGTTTTAATTATATAATCTTTCTCATTTGTACACAAACATATTGTACTGGTGAATCTTTGGATTAAGTGACTTACTCTTTTTTACTTATGGATGAACTTCCCTAATGTAGAGTAGAGAGCATTTGACAAGCAGAGTGTAGGGATCCTAGCTGTGTCAGTGATTTGTTCCTCAGTCTTAGGATTTTATATCTCAGTGTACCCATCTGTGAAAAGGGAATAATAACAACCCTGTAAAAAATTAGCATTAATGGGCTGTACATTCGTGATTAGAATCTACCTCTGTCTTGTAAACATTTTTGCAAGAATTTCTACAAAGCCATTTCCTGTTGCTGATTCAGGTTCATTAACATCCATTTATAGTCTTGTTTCCTAGATCAAATGATTTAAAACTTAAATTGAGTGGGTAGGAGGTATTTCAATTTGAAGTGAAGAATATAAAAACTATATTAAATCATATTGTACTTCAGAATAAACAATGTACAATTACATCTTTTCCAATAATATTTATTTTAAACATTTTAAACATATAGGATTATTGAATGAATTTTACCAGGAACAGCCATATACCCACCACCCAGATCCTATAATTAACATCTACAATTAATGTTGCAATTTGAGAAAAAGTATTACTGTTTAAAAACTACTCTATAGTGCTGATGGCTCAGAGCTCTAAATACTCAATTTACAAAAACACGGGTTATCAAGAATTTGTACTTCTTACAGGATATAGTCAGTTGGTAATCCAAACTTTTAAAATATTTTTATCTTCTTAAATAATTATGTGACACCATCACACTCTTTTCATGCCTGCCTCTGTCCACATATATTGAACCATTGTTTTCATGAGAACACATTGGGGTCTGTATACCATATTCAGACAAACTCAAGACATCAACATAGTACCAGTGGTACCTGAAACCTGCCAAGGAGAGGATCTCTAACTTCTCTAGGAGGCACTGTTCTTTCCACATACCTTCTGTTGAATACCTACCATAGTCATGGTTCTAGTTGCTGCACATGACAGCCTTCTAAAGTTTGTCTAAAGCCAAATAAGCCTGCACAGTGCTAAATTGCACAAAGGAAAGCAGATTTCTTTATCATGGACTGACTTCTCAAGATTTAGGATATATGAATGCACTACGGCCTACTAAGATTAATAAAATGTTTCTCAAACTTATTTAACTTTGCCACCCTTTCAATTAAATATATATATAAACATTAGCAGTGAAGAGTTGGAAAATGGCACCATATGTTTAAAATTAATGGTAACAGTTTGGTTAACGAGGTCCCAGTGTGATCCTACCTTGATAAAACTAGCTAGAACACAACAATAGCTAGAAAATATGGAATGATGACCTAATTGATAAGAGTTGGACTGGAAGTATTTTTAAGCTTTTATCACTCACAAGAGCGTCCTTAGTCTTGGGATACATGAATAATCAAGTGACCCAAGACTGAGCTTTTTCCAAGACTCAGCAAAAGCTATTTTAAAAATATCATGAGATTTTACTACCAACAACTGACCATACAGATGCTCCTGAAGAATTCTCCTGTTCTAAAGGCAATCCAGGCACATTCAAATTACTAGGGGGGTATTTTTGAGAATCATCTGAATTTTAAAATAATAGCCCTTCAGACATACCTCTTTCTTTTCTCCTTCCCTCCTTCCCTCCTTTCTTCCTTTCTTTCTTTCTTTCTTTCTTTCTTTCTTTCTTTCTTTCTTTCTTTCTTTCTCTTTCTTTCTTTCTTTCTTTCTTTCTTTCTTTCTCTTTCTTTCTTTCTTTCTTTCTTTCTTTCTTTCTTTCTTCCTTTCCCTTCTCCTCCTTCTCCTCTTTTTTTTTTTTTTTTTGGCAGGGAGCATGGATTAATTTAAAAAAGCTACATTTAGAAATAAAAATAATAAAAATTGCCAAATGTTGCACATCATTATGTGCCAAAAACTTTACAGAGGACTTTACAGAAGTTATCTTATATGAAACATACAACATTGCTTTATGGATGAAGAAACTGAGGGTTAGACAGTTCAGGGTACGATCTGCCCAAAGCCATGGACATCAGAGGTAAATGAAACCAGAACTCCAGCCCAGGCCTGAAACCTGAGCCATGTTCATAACCATTAATTCACATTGAAGTGAGGGGAGCAGAGACATAAACAGTGGGGTTGGACAACTTTCCATTTCCCAGAGAGCCAAGTTGAGCTTCTTTCTTTTTTCTTTCTGCCATTTATGGTCCAAAGGGAAGAGAACTATCTGGAGGAAAGCGTGTGGCTGAGACAGCAATGATCCTATCTTACTGAACTCATTATATTGACTGTATTTGGCAAAGATGCGGAGGGTATTTTTGGAGAAAATGGATCGTTAGATGTCCATCCCTCCCTGTCCATTGTCTTCTATGTGAGTTAACTTTTCTTACAGCTTCCAATTCTCAGCTGATAA